AGCTGCATCTTGAACCATATGAGGTTTACCGCGCTCAGTAACAGCGCCGTCAACTAGGGAGAGATAGATAGACAAGCATTTATGATATCCTGTTAGAGAAACTTTTTTCATACCTATGATCCATAATTTACACATCATAGGTAATTTTGTTGATTCAGCTTCAATATCCAACCGAATTGCATCAGATATAGAACAATCATCGATCATTGAACCAATACATCGAGCGTTTTGTTGTGTAAAATAAATTTCCTGTTTTCCTTGTTCAAGCCAAGCATTGAGACCATTGGTAAAAAACTGTGGTTGACGAACACTGTTGAGACATTTAACATAACGTCGAAAAGGAATAACTGCAGCATCACTTCGCTTCGGTGGCTTTGGATTTATCACGATAGTTAAATTATCATAATCAGTTGAAGTTTTGGTATTCAAAGTGTCTAACTGCATGATAAATCAACAAGAGAAAGAAAGAACGTGCGTATCTACTTTAATTTAATGCCATTGATTTTTGCTAAAACTGATGATAATAAGGTAATAACATTTAGACGTCATCGATATATTTCTGTTGATCAGATTTAGGGGAAAGATTCTAGAATAATTACATAATCAACTGAAAAAAATTTCTGTTAGAAGGTGGGAATAAAACATGTATCAAAGGAAGGTGAGTCGGTGAACTTGACCCATAACAACTCATAAAACGGAGCTTGGGCTCGTCCTCCTAAGACTACAGTAAATATATAGCACGTATGGAGTAGCTTAAAGTTTTAGTAATCTCCCCGAATTATAGACTTACTGGGTGCCATAAAACGAAATGGAGGAGATAATTGTTTAAGAGTACCCCTCCCCTCATTGGCTTTCTGTACAAAAGCTATGACATAAAAACTAAAACTCACTAAGGTTTCATATATTCAGAACTGATTGGAAACTCAATGGAGCGCGTTTTTCGAGTTTTTAATTATTGTCATTCACCATTTTTCCAGAAAAGTCGATTTTTCATTTGAACCACATTACGAACACCTTAAATTTCAGCCGATAGAGTTGAAAATTTTAACTGTGGTAGCCAAGGGCATGGTGCAGGGCTTTAATTGTGGGATTTTACTT